AACCTGCAGATTGCAGCTGAATATGAACAACGTTCCAATGAATGTTATAACGTTAGTCAATCATAAACAATTTTATTGTTTTTTGTTGAATCTGACTTCTGAATCTAATTAGATGTCGAAGTTTGCAGGTGTTGCATAATTATTCGACGGATTGCACGCAACCACCAGCATTCTGTCCACAATTCACCATGAAAATGTACAACTTCCCCGGCTGTACTATCTTGGTTTGTTACCACCTGTTTGTTATTTCTTCAGTTCATCGCACAATCTTAAATACGATGTAATATTGTTGGTAACAGTCCGACTAGTTCATCTGCAAGAAACTCTCCTAAGAAATATTGATGAATTGCGAGCAAAATATTAAGTTTATTAATGATGTTCACTTCAGGGCAACAAACTGTACAAGAACAGTGAATTCGTTCGTGATTTGAACGCCCAAGACGTGCAACAATTGAAACAGTTCATTGCGGAAAACGCAGAATATCAATCAAACGAAACTGCGTTCAACCTTGAAAATGCAAATAATCCCGAATATGTATGTTACCATGGAAATTGTTTTTTACTAAATTTTCACCCGTTCAGTGCATTCGAATGCACGCACGACAATTGAAAACCATTGAAGTAGAAGTATAAATGAAAGTGACAATTGAAGTGTAAAATGCAAAAGTAAAAAGAAGTATAACGTTTAAAGTGCATCGTATGAAGTATAAACGAGATAAAGTTTTGTGTTACCAGCTGAAATTTGAGAACCCAATAAAAGCACTGAGAATAAATCTCTTGAGAATATATCTTGTGTTGATTCGAATCAGAACATAGGAAACTTTACAAATCGTCACTGTTTACTGATTCGAGGTGATTGAAATTTCGTATAGATATATTTTGCTTCATAGACAAAAATTATCGCAAACAATTTCAGCAACGAGCAATTCTAATGGCCGGAAATGTACCAGTCTCATTCCCAGGCGCTCCGCAACCACCAAGTCCACCACAATTTTGCTGAGTTGATTATTGATCACTTTTACGATCACCTTCTGAATTCTTCACAAAAACGCTTCATTTTCTCATAATTATAGAATTCATATTGTGTCATAATGCAGTTTGTGAAATGTGTGTGTGTGAATTTCTTTTGTGAATTATGTCGAATCGTCTTTGTGAAATCTATTGCAATAAACATTCTGTCGGCAATTCTGTTCGAGACGTAGTTGCGAAATAATATCGAATAAAATCAAAATAGCTCGATGTGTTATCCTTCTTATAATGGTATCAGTGCGTTTCCGCGAATAACATGCATAAATTTCCCCAGTAAAGTCTCAGCAAACCTTTACATGAGTGCAAATCATATTTGATTGAAGTCATCTTCTGAATTTACGCAAAGAAATTTGAGAAGAATAGTGCTGGAGATGCGCTTGAAATCATGATAGTTGATCAAGACACAGAGCGACATTCAATCAAGAGCAACAGTTTGTACAAAAAAGCATTGAAAATTTTTAAGTGATTCTATGAAACACCATTCGTCCACGATTTTTTGACCGCAACTTTTCGATGAAATCATACTTTACACCGTGTTCTGGTTTTGTTCGAATGGTTAGTCGATTTCCAAGATAAATTTTTGTAATTTTTTTTTGCAATGGCCATATTTCATCACATCCAATCAGTTAGTGCACTCAATCATTGCCGAAAAATTTTCGCTATCGACTCTAAAATCCTGTTCCAGTGCTCGCTGTTAACTCATTGTTGATTGATCTAGTGCTTTTTGCTTAAAAAGTGTGATCAATTGAATTGCAAGGGTTCATCGAAACTTCTTATAAAATGCTCTCGTCTAAATTTTGCTGCATCATTTCGTGATTATTCTTCAGCAGCTCCTTCACACCATCCAGTTGCTTCCTTCGCTCTGGGTGTTAAAAACTTTTCGATGGCAACAGACTCTCTTCGAAAGTTTCCCTTGGTTCAAGTCGTAGTAAATTGAAAGATTCTCTACTTCGTTGAAGTTGAAGATTTTGTTGTGCCGGATTCTATTGACTAAATGAATTGTTTTCATGGATATTCGCTTTTGCAGATTGCCATTCCCGTATTGTGACAGTGGT